TGTAAATGTCAGTTCCTCAAGTCGTTGGAAGTCCTGCATCTTGTCAAACCATACTGTCAATGGGCAGGAGGGGTATATTTTTTTTTCCAGAACAGAGGTAACACTTGTTTTGCGGTGTTTAATATTCTAACCATCAAGGATTTTTTGTACACCGTTGTTGGTGTAATCATGTGGGGTAAGAGGTAAGGTGTTAGGGATCCGTGGGCGGCTAGGAGGGGAGGCTGCACGCCACTTGCAGCAGTCACCCTCAGTCCATCGCCGCCCGCGGTCTCCCCTCTGCTTACCTGTCGGTGAGCGGCGTCACCTCTGTGCCGCTCGCCGCCCGCGTCCTCCACGCCCCCCAGCAGCAGCATGTATAACGCTGCACATTGGGAGGTCAATGAATTAAGTAAACGCCGGGGTCACGTGAGTGACCCGGCGTTAAAGAAACAGTACCACAATCACAGTGGGAGGTATAGATATCCCCCACGTGTGATTGTTAATGCTGATTGGAAGTTATACAATCAGAATTAAACCAAGGGTATTTATACTTACCTTTCCTGTCCCTCAGTGCCCTGTTGTGGTCTTGTGATACCTGTAGCTTAGTGTTCTCGTCTTGCTCTCTGGTTACTGATTATTTGGCTCGTTATTCCGATTATCCTGTCTTCTCCAGTCCTTTGACCTCGGCTTGTTTCTCATTCTCCCGTTTTCTGGCTCCCTTTACTTGGCTTGTCTCCTGACTATTCTTAGCGTGCTTAGCTCGGCCACTCTAAGGTCCGGTACGGCACCTTTTCTGTGTGTGTGTGTGTGCCAGCGTGTTGGGTTCCCCGAATCGTGACATTACAACAGGGCACTGAGGGACAGGAAAGGTAAGTATAAATACCCTTGGTTTAATTCTGATTGGATAACTTCCAATCAGAATTAACAATCACACGTGGGGGATATCTATACCTCCCACTGTGATTGTGGTACTGTTTCTTTAACGCCGGGTCACTCACGTGACCCCGGCATTTACTTAATTCATTGACCTCCCAACGTGCAGCGTTATACATGCTGCCGCTGGGGGGCGTGGAGGACGCGGGCGGCAAGCGGCACAGAGGAGACGCCGCTCGCCGACAGGTAAGCAGAGGGGAGACCGCGGGCGGCGATGGACTGAGAGTGAGTGCTGCAAGTGGTGTGCAGCCTCCCCTCCTAGCCGCCCGCGGATCCCTGACATAAGGGGCTGGTCGGAAGCTGGGCGGATTGTCAGAAAATCTGTTTAAGATTTCACCAAAAAGGTGTTATTTTATGGCATTCCCATCAAATGTGCAGGAACGTTCCAGTGCCGGTCCCGCAGCGCCATCAGTCATCCCCCAGAGTTGGGTTCAAAGACCTTAGTGCCTGTGGGGTCCTGTACCATAATGATAAAACTTTGTAGGTCGCCTCCTTAGTCTTTCTGGATAGTGCACAGTGATGTACCAAATCACAGATTTTACCGCACTGCTGGTGTGTGAAAGTTTCCCCTAGCCATGTTTCCCATTTGCCCATGTACGGGGGGGGAAGGAGATTTCTATTTCGTAGTAGTAATGATTATAGATAGGATATAGCATACAGCTGTTTGTACCTCAGTCTCTGCATAAATGTGTGGTGTCTGCTATCTACCAGGTCACCAAGAGGTTTCAGTTTGCCTCTCGGCAGTAGGTGTCGGGCTTGTACTAGGGACTGTGGAAGTAAGCATGTGAATGCTTTCTCTTCCGCACCGAGGGCAAACTCAGGGTTATGTGTCACAGGGTAAAAGGGGTGTAACGGCCACCCAGGTAGTGAGAGGGGTGTATGCCGTTGGAGACGTCCTTTACCCCGGCGAGAGGCTGTGCTGCAGTGTATTCTTGATGTCCCATCAGTGTAGAGAAAGAGTAGCAGAGCTCTTACAAGAGCTAGTGATTAGCTAGATACAGGTTCCCTACAATAATGAGACAAGGCTACGTATGGAGGGTTAAGCAGGAACTGAAGGTTTAATGTGCCAGGCTGGCTTTTATGAATCTTTTCCCACAAGGTTACCACCCATGTGGACCTTGTTGGGCACCGAAAACACAAACTCAACAACCAATAGTTTACAGTCACACAGTTAATCCCATTCATTACAGTAAATTCCTCCCCTCTGCTTGGGAGATAATTGAGTTAATTGCTGTATCAACTCAATTATCTTCAAGCAAAAAATACACTTTTTACTCATTTTTCATTAATTTAAAATTATACATCACATTCCCATAAAACTTATATTTTCAGAACGAGCATAATTAGGGAACAATCATATTTATTTTATATATATATATATATATATATATATATAAAAATCATACGAATCGGTTCAGGGGTTCGGGAGATAGATAGAAGTTCCATTTCTGCCAGGCGATGCTAAGTGGTCCTGGAAGTCTCAGCGGTATTCGGGAGTTTGAGTGTCCGAAAATAGTTTCAGACACTCGACGACCAAACCCCGCTGGACGCGTTTGACAAAACAAGATGGCCACCGCCACGTGTTCGTGCATACGAATCGACGGCCACCCAGTGAACACCTTAGAACGTTTGCGGTTTGGCACAGAGTCAAGGAGTTAATTGGCGACACACGCCGGGTCAGGGTGGTCTTTAGTTTGGCAGTTTGTTCGATGATATGAACAGATTAGCAGAGTTATTCGTTTTCCCATTCGTATGTTCAGCATAACTACAGTTACAAATACAGTGGTTACAATGTTCCAAGTCTGTTGGCCAGGCAATAACAGGGATCTGTTACAAGGGGAAAGGATGAAAGCTCCATTCTCACAGCATTCCTATGCCATATGTCCAGGGTGGTCTTTACGAAAGGCTGGTGGCGTGATAGCTTCCTGCTCTCCGCTGGGTGTATCCACATCAGAGAGCCCCCTGTTTGGGCTTGTTCTATCTTTTTCCATAATTTGGATACTCCATCCTTGGCCCATTCCAGCACTCTTTGTAGGTGGGAGGCCCGGTAGTATAATTGAAAGTCTGGCACCGCAAGCCCACTTTCTTTCCTCGGTCTCGTCAAAAGGTGGTGTGACGAGTTGGACCTGTGTTAAACCCTTGTTGAAAACACTATTTGTGTCTGTTGGGACTTATAACAGGAACAATTTGAACTTTTAAAGCGGCACTTCGAACTCCCAAACTCCCAAAGCCATTCGAAGTGCCATTCGACCACGTGGCGGTGGCCATCTTAAGCCGCAAGTACAATGAGCGGTGTTTGGTCGTCGAGTTCATGCAACTCAAATTGGACACGGGACGGTGCGAACACGGCTAAACTCTTACCTTACATGGAGGTTCGGCTATTCGAACGGCATTCGGTAAGAATAAACTCACAAACAAGGGACATAAAGTGCCTTGCAAATGTATTCACCCCCTTGACTTTTTACCTATTTTGTTACATTACAGCCTTAAATTCAATGTTTTATTAATCTGAATTTTATGTGATGGATCAGAATGGAATAATCTAAGTTGGTGAAGTGAAATGAGAAAAATATATACATAAAACTATTTTTTAGAAATAGAAAACAGAAAATTGGCATGTGCGTATGTATTCATCCACTTTGTTATGAAGCCCATAAAAAGCTCTGGTGCACCCAATTACCTTCAGAAGTCACATAATTAGTGAAATGATGTCCACCTGTGTGCAATCACATGATCTGTCATTACATATACACACCATTTTTGAAAGGCCCCAGAGGCACAACTAACCAAACACTGCTATGAAGACCAAAGAAACTCTCCAAACAAGTAAGGGACAATGTTTTTGAGAAGTACAAGTCAGGGTTAGGTTATAAAAAAATATCCAAATCTTTGATGATCCCCATGAGCACCATCAAATCTATCATAACCAAATGGAAAAAATATGGCACAACAGCAAACCTGCCAAGAGACGGCCACCCACCAAAACTCAGGGACCGGGAAAGGAGGGCATAAGTCAGAGAGGCAGCACAGAGACCTAAGGTAACCCTGGAGGAGCTGCAGAGTTCCACAGCATAGATTGGAGTATCTGTACATAGGACGACAATAAGCCGTATGCTCCATAGAGTTGGGCTTTATGGCAGAGTGGCCAGAAGAAAGCCATTACTTTCAGCAAAAAAAACTAAATGGCACGTTTTGAGTTTGCAAAAAGGCATGTGGGAGACTCCTAAAAAGTATGGAGGAAGGTGCTCTGGTCTGATGAGACTAAAATTGAACTTTTCAGCAATCAAAGAAAACACTATATCTGGTACAAACCATCACATCACCCAAAGAACACCATGAAACATGTGGTGGCAGCATCATGCTGTGGGGGTGTTTTTCAGCAGCCGGGACTGGGAAACTGGTCAGAGTTGAGGGAAAGATGGATGGTGCTAAATACAGGGATATTCTTGAGCAAAACCTGTACTACTCCTTGCGCGATTTGAGGCTGGGACGGAGGTTCACCTTCCAGAAGGACAGTGGCCCCAAACATACTGCTAAAGCAACACTTGAGTGGCTTAAGGGAAAACATGTAAATGTGTTGGAATTGCCCAGTCAAACCCCACACCTCAATCCAATAGATAATCTGTGGTCAGACTTAAAGATTGCTGTTCACAAGCGCAAATCATTCAACTTGAAGGAACTGGAGCAGTTTTGCAAGGAGGAATGAAGAAAAATCCCAGTGGTAAGATGTAGCAAGCTCATAGAGACTTATCCAATCAACTTGGAGCTGTGATTGCGCAAAAGGTGGCTCTACAAAGTATTGACTTTTGGTGGGTGAATAGTTATGCACATTGACCTTTTCTGTTATTTTGTTCTATTTGTTGTTTTCTTCACAATAAAAAAAAAATCTTCCAAGTTGTGGGCATGTTCTGTAAATTAAATTATGCAAATCCTCAAACAATCCATGTTAATTCCAGGTTGTGAGGCAACAAAACACGCGAAATGCCAAGGGTGGTGAATACTTTTGCAAGGCACTGTAGAACAGTGTGTTTCTTCCTTTTTCCATTTATATTCCTCAACAAGGGTTAACCCCTTCACTGCCCTACGATCTCTCTTTGGATCCATATCAGCTTCCACTCCATTCAATTTTTTATATGAATGGAGTGGAAGCTGATATGGGTCCAAATATAAATATATATATATATATTTATGTAACATTTAAAAAAAATGAGGTTGTTTTATTAATTACTATTTGCGGGACCTGCCTGACAACCCAGGCGGAAAGTCCAGGGAATTTAATTTGCCAGCACTGTAGTTAACCCTGTAACTTTCCATGACACCATAAAACCTGTACATGGGGGTACTGTTTTACTCTGAAGACTTCGCTGAACACAAATATTAGTGTTTCAAAACAGTAATATGTATTACAACGATGACATTTTTTGCATTTTTCACACACAAATACACAAGAATGATTATTAAACCTCATTGGTATCTGTAATGGAGTTAAGCTATAATAGCTTGAGGTACATAACATAACAAGTTGTGACATTGTAACTGTAACAGAAAAGGAAAAAATATGGTTACATCTTTAGTGAAAGGGAACAGGAGTTTTAAACAGCAAGGGTGTTTAGATCATGAATTATTCATCAATGAAAAAAATCCTTTCTATAAATTAACAATGATGAGTGATAGATGAAAAAAAAAAATATATATATATATACCTAAAAATGTATTAGACAGGATGTACAGTCAGGTCCATAAATATTGGGACATCGACACAATTCTAATCTTTTTGGCGCTATACACCACCACAATGTATTTGAAATGAAATGAACAAGATGTGCTTTAACTGCAGACTTTCAGCTTTAATTTGAGGGTATTTACATCCAAATCAGGTGAACCGTGTAGGAAATACAACAGTTTGTATATGTGCCTGCCACCTTTCAAGGGATCAAATGTAATGGGACAATTGGCTGCTCAGCTGTTCCATGGCCAGGTGTGTATTATTCCCTCATTATCCCATTTACAAGGAGCAGATAAAAGATCCAGAATTAATTTCAAGTGTGCTATTTTCATTTGGAATCTGTTGCTGTCAACTCTCAATATGAGATCCAAAGAGCTGTCACTATCAGTGAAGCAAGCCATCATTAGGCTGTAAAAACAAAACAAACCCATCAGAGAGATAGCAAAAACATTAGGTGTGGCCAAATCAACTATTTGGAACATCCTTAAAAAGAAAGAATGCACCGGTGAGCTCAGCAACACCAAAAGACACGGAAGACCACGGAAAACAACTGTGGTGGATGACCGAAGAATTCTTTCCCTGGTGAAGAAAACACTGTGACGAGATTGAATTGTAACGGACCATTTTGCACACAAGGGGTAAAAACCATTTAGGCGATCGTCCCCCTTTTCAGAGATGCAGGCACAGCTATTGTAAAACACCAAACACACGAACCGCCAATAAGTGAATGCTCCAAACTCCCGAACGGCATCCAATATAGCACTCCAAACACACGAACAGGAACTATACGAATTGCTGCTAGCAGACCAATAGGAAAAGCATCCAAGCGGCTTACACTCCTAGCAATCAGTCTCTATCAGCATTCAGTAAATCCCCCCAAAGACGAGACAAGGCTCCGTGTTGAGGGTCAAGCAGTGGTCTGTTTAATGAAGGCTACCTGCCCAGTATTTATGCAGGTCTCCCACCTGGTGGACACTCCCCTAGGGGACCAAATGGGAGACTGTGACAAGGGACAGACAAGCAGACAAATAGGACACACAGTCACATTACATTCCCACAATGCATCCTCGCTTCCTCCCCTCTGCCTTGGAGATAATTGAGAAGTAATTCAATTATCTCCCAAGACAAAGGCAAATCGCCATTATGCACGTGGGGATACTAAAACATGAATTACTATTAAAATACACCATGTAAGACACATTACAATAAACTTATACATTTAACATGTCCCCAGATAGCTCAGGTCTGAGCGCACATTATTAAGTGAATGGCGCTCAGACCACACGAATACAGTGTAATCGCCATGGAGCCAAAGTCTTTACACAGTCAGTTTCATGCGAATGGGCTCCATGGGATTCCTAACTGGGGTATAACATAGACAAGTAAAACTACCGAACACCGGCCGTTCGTGTACTTCCACCGAACAAGAAGGGAGGTCATCGGCTTCAGCGTTGTTCGCGCAAAACTGTGTCCGATTTTAGTTCCATGAATTAAGCGTCGAACACCGCTATACATTCGTATGTTTAAAATGGCCGCAACCTCGTGTTCGGGATATGAATGGCGGCCACCCAGCATTCGTCAATTAAGCTGCGGTTAACCGCAGCTTCAGGGAGGTTAATTGCCGGCACACTCCAGCTCCCAGGTGGTCTATTCATTCGTGCGCTTGTTCGGTAGATTGAATCTACCGAACAACCGGCAGAAAAGCACGATTAAAGCTTTTCTGCAGGCGAAACAAAGTCTTTTAACATGGGGCCATAGTCCAAAGGCAGCAGGCAAGCAACCAGGCTTCTCCAATGCAATGTGGTGAGATTGGTCTCGTCACAAACACCCTTCACAACAGTTGGCCAGATCAAGAACACTCTCCAGGAGGTATATGTATAGGTGTATGTGTGTCAAAGTCAACAATCAAGAGAAGACTTCACCAGAATGAATACAGAGGGTTCAACACAAGATGTAAACCATTGGTGAGCCTCAAAAACAGGAAGGCCAGACAAGAGTTTGCCAAACAACATCTAAAATAGCCTTCACAGTTCTGGAACAACATCCTATGGACAGATGAGACCAAGATCAATGTAGCGGATGGCACCGGGCTTTCCTTCAAATATATTGTACATAACTGCATTTGTGTGATCTGCTGTGTTATATGTGTTTTAAAAGAATTGTATTCCTCTGATTGTTCGGTAGTTTCATTCCCTTAGTTTATTCGAATGAAAATACCGAACAACCAGACCTCCCCTGTGTGAAGTGTGTCCTCAATTACCCGTTGCAACATTGTTGCGAACGGGTAATTGACTAGTAAGTAGCCGTCCTTTGTTCTCGGGGGTGGCCGCCATTCGACAAACGAACACATGGCGGCGGCCATTTTAAAACTCCAGAACAGCGGTGTTTTGCCGTCGAGTGTCTGGAACTAAAATCGGACACTCGAGTAGGCGAACACCGCTGAGACCTCCACAAGCCCGGTCCGTTCGGTTCCAAACTACCGAACGGCCCCTCGTTCGGTAGATAGAAAGTACCGAACGAGGGGATTCAGGCGAACCCTCCCTAGCCTCTATAGCTAGAGGCTTTCGTGTATTTTGTTCCCTTATGCCAGGACCGACCGCAGGGCCCATTCGCATGGAACCTCATTCGGCTGTCTCAGTTAGTGCGGTCGGTCATTTTATTCCCTCCATACATTTCCCGAACCCCTGGTCTGATCTGGGTGATTTTTGGATATGTTGTTCACCCAGATCAGGGCTATCCGGGGATGTAGGATTTAAAGAGGTACCCCTACGTTTAGGGGTACATCCAGAAACGGGGGGAATTACTGTACTGGATAAGGGGATTATGATGCTGGCTGAGGGGAGGAGATGTGTGGGAGGTTACCAGGACAGGATTGGCTACTGTATTAATGATTGTAAATCCCTCCCTTGAATGGGAGCATGCTTTAAAAGGAGACTGTGGATTAAAGCTTTCAGTTCTGCTCCTGAAACTGTGTGTCGTCCAGTTATTGGGATTGCTGTTGGGATATTGCTGTATTTTACCTGCTGGAAAACTTGCCTGTGGATTTACTATTTACTTGTTCCTGAGCCTCACTTGGATTATAAGAGGAGATAACCTGGGGAATATTGCATCTCCGCTACATTGGTTGGCAGCGCTGGGATCCAGACTCACAGAGGAACAAGCATAAATGGAGTACGGATGGAGATTGATTTTGTCACACTAAAACGCTCCACGCTAAAGGACCTCCTGGAGGCAAGGGGTACACAAGCCAGCAACAAGAAGAAAGCGGTACTCATTACTGAACTTATGACGGAGTACCGAATGGATGGCGATTCGGTTCCCGAACAGGGGAATTCGGGAGAAACACCGGAACAGAGGGAGTTCCAGAGGCAGCTACAATTTCGGCTATCTTTCAATGGGGAACACCCTCCAGCAGAGATTGTTTCAAAAACTATGACGGAAGTCCAGGAATTTATACTGAGAAATCAAACAACAGCCCCAGAACGCAGCTCTGCAGTAAATATGCCACAAGAAGGTAAGCCTAAAATACCATACCAGGCTTTTAAAACATATGTGGAGGCAGAGGAAGATATAGACGCTTTCCTGCAAGATTTTGAGAGACTGTGTGCACTGCATAGAATCAGCGCAGAGGACTGGGTACCTATTTTGGCAGGAAGGTTAACTGGGAGGGCAGCTGAGGCATATCGTACTGTACCCAATGAAGAAATAAGGAATTATAGTAAAGTTAAAGAAATTATACTGGCCAGGTATGCTATAACACCAGAAGCATACCGGCGGAGATTCAGGGATTTGAAGAAGGTGGAGAAAGACTCACACGCAGAGTGGGCATGCAGGTTACAAAGGGCAGCCCTTGGGTGGGTGCAAGTGAGCAAGGCACGGTCCATGGAGGATGTATTACAAATGGTGCTGATGGAGAAATTTTATGAGGGAGTAACCAGCGAGGTACAGGAGTGGGTAAGAGACAGAAACCCTAACTCCCTCACCGAAGCAGCCAGGAAGGCAGATGAGTACCTGGATGCACGCAGGCAGCAAAAACCTGCAGCTCCAAAAGTCCCGTTTAAAACCTTTGGGGGAACCAGCTCCACCGAGACCCCTGCCACCACCACCACCGCCCGCTGCACAGCCACGTTTCCGCCAGCCCACATCTGGCCCCTGCCACCACTGCCAGAAATGGGGACATTATAAAAGGGAATGCCCCCAGCTGCGGGACCGTTCCACTTGGATCCGGCCTGGTCCACCACCACCACCGAGAACAGTCGCAGCCCACCACTACCAGGATATCGTGGCCATCCCCTATGGCTCAGCGGTTCCCGTTACAACTGTGGAACAATGGGAAGTACTGCACGAGGCAGATCCAGTCCAGGCCAATGCTGACAACCGCCAGCATCACAGGCAGACCGTATATCTGGAGGGTAAAGCGGTTCAGGGGCTACGGGACTCAGGG